GTATCCAAGACATGTCTGGATTGATCAAGTTCAAACTTCACACACACATGGTACATCATGTCACAAATAGATATGTGCATTTGTTTCATGATTCGCTTAACAATAGCTGAATGATGGCCATTTTAAGACCAAGAATGCATCAAAATCACATATTTTCACCATTCCGAACCCGGATCTCAATTATGCATGGATGGATTTTGTTCAGATTTAGTACAATGTGTTGTACATATGCAGGTGCATTTCGGTCATGATCTGCTTTGAATGTATGTGTCATTCAAATATGAACGGAGCGGGGACGTGTCATTGACAATGACTTGTTTAAAATATATTTTATCAATTTCAATTTTGTTATTGTTCGATTGTTAAAACATTTCCCAATCAGGTAATCATAAAAAATTTGAATTAAGGAAATAAATGTTAAAAATAATGAAATCACACATAAAAAAAAGAATAATTAAAAGAATAAAAAAAATATATAGAAAGGAAAGAAAAGTACAAAGCTCATTTGCATAGTAGTAAAATACACATGCAACATCAGAATACAAATTACTGTATATTAATTGTCACTAAAAATCCTGACGAAAACTTTGTGAGTTGTTTTCTGCAAAGAAATTAAAACTAAACTGGTTGTAATTTTCATTTTAGATGTACAAATAAAGATGATATTGTATTATGTAATATTTTGTCTGTCTTGTTTCAATTAATGCTAGCTTGGAAGCTATGCAGCATTTACAATTAATATACACTTATGCCTAGGTATGATGCTCGTAATATCTCATTACTTATTCAGCAGTCTTGTTGTTCATTGACAAAATTCTCCACGAGAAAAATTTTCTATAATCACATGGTCTCTGAATAAATCTACCAATCAGAATTGACTCCATTATGAATCATTCATATACTGTGATGAATTGAAAATCACTAACAATGTGCCATATAACAAGTAGAGCATTGAACAGATTCCAGACTAATTGAATATGGGGTTCTATTATTATTTTGTTTGTGTCTGTGACTATACATTTGTCTGTATGTCAATCCGTGTATTCACATGTTTGAGTGCAATTTGGCGTGAAAATGAGTTGATCTGCAGTGTACTTGCATAATATATGATGTCAATAAAAGTATGAAATTTGTTGTAATATGAAACCCCAAAAGTTTTCTATTTTAAATCCTTGAAAATTAAATTTTTGTGAGAGAACATTTTAGAATAACGTTTCTACTGAATTGTGAACGATATTAATGGGATTATGAATTATTTGAAATAAGTATCGATCCTCCTACTTGTCTTTCATTTTGGATTTCTGAATAAAGTTTGTTGTTTATTATCAAATTGAATAATTTTTGGAAAAAAAAATATTCCTGTTAATTAACACAACACATCAATATGTTATTTTTCAAAAGTAATATTATGCATGTTTGGTTTGAAGATCACATAATTCAGGAATTAATATTGCTGTACATTAATTGCGTATGTTTGTTTATATTACTACCACCGTACTCAATATGACGTTGTTTTCAACTTGTACATTAAATTACTAACTTGATTAACCCAATGAGTTTTTTGTGAAATCAATTACAGTTGATGTTCATACTTCATTAATAGGATTATGATATGTATATATATATATATATAATTCTCTTCATTCATTTGGTATACTTAAAGCTTTACAATGCATATTACATTTTTTGTACAAACATGAGATCTATATTGAACGTGAGGCTTTAGTGTTTTCATGTAAATATTGCGTTGAATATGTGTATCAGGTATACCATGCCATGCCATCTGGGTAGTTCTTGTTCCCCTCATCATTCCATTCCATAACACATAACTGAAGACAGAGTATGTAAATGAGTATCGATAAATTCAAACAAATAGCGAGTCAGTAAATTTTATCTGGGGAAAACCATATGGTACCAACAATTCTAGAAAGGCATTGAATCAATTGAGACAATCCTCATGTGATCAGTATGCATCAGATTACCTTTATTACTTAAATATTATTGTTTTAAGGTATGGTCCAATATGTTATTTAAATCTATTATTATAATGGACATGTGAAAATTTAAGAATTCATTTCTGATTTTATTTTATTTTGTATTTCAAAAAGAATAGCCTTATAAATATAATTATTTGTCTTTTATATTCAATTCTGTGATGTCCTTGTGATTAGATTTATGCTGAAATTAATGAGTTAGTAATACTAAAAACCCATTAATAGGCCTCAGTTCATTCAGTGTCCAGCATTTTGTTACATATGATTTTTTTAATTGTTTATTTATTTTTTTCACCACCATTTAATTAAATTGAACGTCATACAATAATAAGCACAAAATTGAGAGAAATTATGAGGAACAAAATTAATAGCTCTATTTGAGCCAATGAAATAATATGTCCCACCATGATGGAGAATTTGTACTGGCTCCAAAAAATATTCGACTTGTACCTTGAGCCATGGGGCTTTGTGTTACACTCGCTCAGCCTTTTAGTGTAACGCATAACCATATGGGACAAGCACGGTCAATAATAACTAGTAACCGCATGGGAACACGCTTACTACTTTTTTAGTAACCGTGATGGGGACAAGGTGCAATTGAGTCGTCACGATCAGTCGTCACACTCTAGTGACGCTTATGCTTGCGCCCTCAGGCGACACAAAACAGAAAATATATGACCTTTCACCTTAACTACCCACGCGCATGAGCAGTTACAATCTAGTTTTCAAAATGGCGGAAATATCGTGTCTCGATAAATGGATCGAAATAACGAAACAGTGCAAATATTTACCCGAAAACGATCTAAAGGTGAGTATTTCAGATTTCAGTTCATAACAGAACATCGTCTCATACACTGATTCTCAGCGCAAGAGTCTAAAAATAGCTGGACATCCTCCCCCCAACCGCTGATGACTGTTCATTTCAGTTGTCGGTTTCCCTGACCTCGACAACTTGAGATTTGATTTATTTACCAGTGGACGCGGAAGTTTAATTGATTATGATTAGTCAATCGCTATTTATAGAACGGCCGTCTCTCAAATAAAATTAGATAAAAGTACGGAAAACTTGTTGACGTGATCCTGAAAATTGCAAGCTCACCACTTAAATGTTATCCATTTCGAGCAAACGAGTTGTTTTAGAAAACGAACTAACAAACAATTCAAATACTAGTAGTTCTGTCACATAATCGTGATTGAAAACAGAATTGGTCCCACTATTTGAAATAAGACTAGACCCGGCTGTAATAATTAGCTGCGTTCCTATATAGTATTAGAGTGTTGCATCGTCTTTAGTCGTGCTCTCTCGGTGACGTTTCACAACATGCATGAATTCATGTTTATAAACTGTCCCACAATCAAAGTCATTTTCTTTGTTTACCTCATGCAATCACAACTCACACAAAATGTCAATCAGATAAAATTCTGAGACAGTATATAGCATTGTTGGTTGTGTATTTATGGTTTAGGGTTGGGAAAGTGTCAAGTCTTGCCGGGGTTGTGGAAAAAAGCATTGTGAAAAGAGATCAAATAAATCTTGACAAATTAAGGGCACATATCATTTCTCATTTTAAATATGTGATTATCTTGCTACTTAGTTGCATGACTAGGCCTTTAAAATGGCAGAATTTATTTTGACTTTCACTTTTACTATGTATACATGTACATCTAACAGATGTGACCGTTCAAACAACTTTTAAAATCTCTGTTGAACATGCATTAAGGTGGTGTAATGACTTGCCACATTCCCATTTCCACCCATGACTGTTTCAAGTATAGCCCAGAGTACAGTCCTGTAGGTTGGCCTCCTTCCGCTGATCATTCGGCCCCCAGGTTGGCCTCCTTCCGCTGCCCCCACAGTCCTGAGAAGTCGGATAGACCTGGGATTCGACACTAGTTGAAGGGCTGTATCGGGCGATTTAAGGGCATTCAGCTTTGCAGTTAAAAAATAAGTACCTAGATCGATAAGTCTAACTACACTAGGGTGGATCAAATCGTCATTTTCCAATGACAAAAGAAAATATACGCCACTATCTTGTTACGACGTATTTATAAACAAACCGTCGTTTTGTTGCATAAAACAAGCTTTCATCAACGTTCCAGTGCTGTAGGTACA